GGGCCTTCACGTTCACTGCTTCTCCACCTGGTCTGTCTTCCCTCAGACCTCCAGTCTCCAGTCCATCCTTCCTTGAGCTCTCTCAGAGGCCACCTCACCTAAGACTTTCTCTGACCACGCTGTGTAAAAGGACAGCCTCGCCACCATGATGCCTTCCATTCTTTTGTCTTTATTTTTTTTTTCATAGCACTTGCCACTTTCTGATTTTATGTGACTGTTTGTTTTCTGCCTCCATACTCCACTAGAATGCAAGCTCCATAAAACTAGGGACTTTGTTTTGCTCAATTCCATAATTTCGGCACACAGAATAGTGCCTGGCATGCTGTAGCCCCTGATAAAATATGCTAAGTGAGTGAATTACTAAGGTTTGTCAAATATACATTATGTGCCAGGACCTTTAAATGCATTATTTCATACGATCCTTAAGAGGTAGTTGCTATTACTAACCAACTTTATGAAGATTGATGTCCAGAGAAGTTACGTAACTTGCTCAAGGGAACATGTCTGGCGAGTAAAGGAGTCACGATTTAACTGACATGTATCAGTCATTCAAACATTCTTGTTTTAATGGTAGTTCCCAGAACAGTATTATCTCTATGCTGTCCCTCCTCTTTTTCTTCCTTTGTTTTTCCTTCTGTTCATTCATGTGCCTACATGTTAAGCACTGTGATTAGCTCTAGGGATACACATTTAAAGAAGACACATGCCCCGCTACAGAAAACTGCCCTGTCTAGAGGGAGAAGAAAGACATACAAACAAATATTTCCAAGATATATGTTTATTTTCTCTCAAAAATAGGAGTCATTTTACTCAACACATTTTTCACTTTGCACAAAACTACTAGAACTTTTAGTCACCATCATTACCTAAATATTGTAATCTACTTATCTCAATTGACCCAAAACATATAAATACCATATTTTGGTCCCCTCCCACCTTGCAAGTTCTTTGGAAAGTAGATGAGGGATAAATTGTAAATAACACAAAATATGAAGTGTCTCATTGTCCTTTACACAAATATCCTATCTAATAAAAGAGAAACATGGTAATTGGCATACGACCGCTACCCTTCCCATTGGCTAATCAGGGCAATATCCAAATTAACTGCCAGCCAAGATGGCGGCTGGCAGCCAGGCAGCTTGAAACTAACATGAGGCTTGCTTGCTTCAGTGACGGAGGATTCCAACATTCTCCACCTGCCGCTGCCGGCCTCTGAGCTGCAACTCTAAGCAACTATGTTACAAATATAGAAGCTAAGCAAAACCCCAGAAACCTTCTTTAGTCCACTGAGCTTCAGCCAGCAGGATTGCAACATTGTTTCAAATACAGAAGGTAAACAAAGGCCAGAAACCTGCTTTCAGCAGCAGAGGCCTAAGAGCTGGAGCCAAGCCTCAAAGCTAAAGCA